CAGCAGATAGCTACCTGTACAATGACTACTTCCCAATGTATATGATTTACAAAGGATGGTTACTTTCTTTAAAAAATGTGAACCAGAAGAAAGGCCTTTTAAGCAAGAAAAATGTTCTAGTCTGGAAATGGAATACTATGTTAAGCTCCGAGAAGCTCACAAGGAAGAGGAAGAGTCTGGCATCTTGATCTTCAGAGAAATGGGAAGAAGAAATTGCAAGTTGCTATAAATGCATTTGGTATTTGTCCAGAAGATGTACTCTTTTGCAGGGAAAGAAATAGGTGAGATGAGAAACTGGTACAGGGTATTCGGTGTATCTTCATTTGCCTCGGTAGTTTCCCACGAAAGCACAAGAACAGAAGGGGCAGCACCTCGTAAGAAAGCGTGGACAAGGTTCAGATTGCCAGGATAGGGACCTGTTTCCCATCTCGTTTCAAAAGTCCAGTTGAAAGAGTCAGCATGATGTCTAGACAGGGTGACAAGTCTGTTCTGTAATTGTCTGTAAATTGCCTTGTGAAAATGCCAATAAATACTTCCAGTAGTTGCTCCCTGTGATGCTTTAAGTTTGTACTTTTGGTTGAGCTTTCTCCTCTGCTTTAGGTTTGTGGTGGTCCAAAGCAGTTTTGTTTAGCTTATGATACCTGCTTCCTTACCTGTGTTTAGTTACTGTAGGTAGCTACTAACTACTACTGTAGGTGGGCACAGAACATTTTTTCACAGTGAAATTCACAAACTGTGTATGGCCGTGATGCAGTCTGTGAATTTATCATGAGCCTGACTCAAGGCTCACCCCCTCCCACACCCCTGCCCATGGGCTCAGGATATGACTCAATTCTACCTAAGCTGTGCTGTGGGTGTGCTTGTCTCCACCCACCCTGGTGCCTGACTTGTTCATATGGATCTGTTAATTTCCCAACTTGATGTAGGTCTTGCCCTGATGATCTGGGCACTCGACTGAGCCAGGTGACTGACCGCAACTTCCCTGCTCATATTGAAAGCCTCACACGGCAGCTAAATTACAGCTAATAGCTAATTGAAATTCCTTTAAGAAAACTAAAACCCATATGAATTTCTGCTTGTTTTTAGCTTTTTTTTGTCAAGGAAAACTTGCACAATATTCACCAGTGTTGCAATATTCCCAAGCAAAGTTAGGCAAGGAACATAGCAGCAGAGCCATAAAAGAAGTGATTTTTTTTTAATGTAATTCCAACAGGTGAATTACGAATGCCATTTCCTTTTAAGCTTTCAATCAGAGTAGCAACCCACAAACCCAGAAGTTCAAAATAATACTTGGATAAATATAATTGCTTTGTACATTTCCTGGATTGTTTAACTACTGTGATTAAAATTGAAATGGGCTGGATGGGTACTTTATTTCTTGCTCTTCTAGGTTATGAAGCTCTTGTGTAGTGAGCTCTTTGGCAGGCAGGTCACTTTTTACTGCATGATCTGCACAGAATCCAACATACTTGGCTGTGATCAGTTAATACAATAGTAATTAGATTCATTATGACAACTAAAATTATGTGCATTTTCAAAAATAGTTTCCCAATTTACCAAATAACATTTTCGATCCCTCCAAGTGTGAAAGCAACCTGATTCCCTTGTGCTTCTCTACCACACTTGAACATGCTGTGAATATTGCCAAATCCCAATGGATTCATGCTAACCCTAATTATGTAACTGATGGAAAAGTGATGATTTTCATTCAAAATAATTGACTGGTACAGGCAAATAAACCCAGATGGTGAGAAATAATCAGTAGATGGAAGTTTTGCACAATGTTGAGCTCCAGGAGAAGAGCAGAAATTTGTGGGAGCTTAATTTCCTGCCCTGCAAATCTATGGCCTCTTCCAACAGTAAGTCTAAAATAAAGTCAGTCCC